CCGCACTGGAGCCACACCCAGCCCTGGGGACCGCCCAGCGTATGGGTGCGGCCTTGAGATCTCAGCCTGAAGGGTCAGTGGGTACTCTAGAGGCGTGGGAGAATGGCCGGCGGAAGACGAGACCCAAGAGCGTGACTCCGGAGAAAGTCCGCGAATCCTGGCGCACTCCAGCGGCTGGCGGAGTTGCTTCCAGGTTCGCCGCTCCAGACCCCATAGTTCGAAAACCCACGCCTCATAGTCAGGGATTGCGCGCTAGGGGTAGGGTGGCGCATAATCCACGGCGGCTTTGCTCACAATGACTAGGGGGCCTCGAGGGTGCCCTGCTTAATTCCAGAAAGCCAGCGTGAACCGCCCACACACTGTCTCCCTCCCACCCCTACACTTCGGACATGAGCCACACACACAAATAAGTAGGCGACACTTAGAGACCTAAAGGAATAACGCACTTTTCCCAGCGTCATGCTGCCCGGAGCAGGGAGGAGGGGTCTGGGTTTGCCTCTGGCTCAGTCATCCTCCCGATCTGCGGGCTCTGGGCAGTGCCTGGAGCAGTGCCCTGGGCAGAGCATCGCCCCTGGGGCCTGAAGACCTACAGTTGTCTCCTGCTGTGGCCACTTCTTAGCTGAATGACCTTGACAAGTGACCTAAACTCTGGGAGCCTTCGTTTGGGCTTCTGAACCAATGTCAGGGATGATCTTAGTTGGAATCAAGTCATGTTTCAGAGCTGCGGACCACAGGCTCCATCAGGCTTTATGTTGCTTTAGGTCGTTAATCCTTCCTTGAGTCAACACCAAGGTCACGGAGAACAGGTACTGTGCAGCATCCCTAGGGCCTCCCTCTGGTGAGACAGGACAGAGGAAGAGGGTCAGAGGAGAAAAGGAGAGCTGGCACATAGGGGAAATGGACCAAGAAAAGAGAGGAACTCAGGATGTAGCCAGAAAGGCATAAGGCACACATAGGAAAACCTAGTTTGCAGCCTCGACTTTGTCATAACTTGCTGTGAGACCGTGGGCAAGACCTCCAGGGAGGCCTTAATATCTCCTGATCTCCAAAGTTCCCTCCAGCCCTAACTGTGAGTAGCTTCTATTGTAAAACCAGATTTAAGGATACCAGCTCAACTACTTAAGTACAAAGACTAGCCCAGATGTTGTGGATGGGTGCTTGGACAGGGGGTGAAGTCTGCAGTAATAGTGGAAGGGCAGGAGTGGATAAATGCCTGTCAGGCCTGAGGTAGATTTTAAAGATAGGGAAGTAAGGGAACTGGCCAGTAAGTGGAAGAGGTGGCTATGGGGGACAGTTGGGGAGAAGCTGGGGCTCCTAGCGACATGCTATCTAAAGCGAGCTCCTTTTACCCATAAATTTCCCCAGCTGTTGAATAAGGGTTGTCTTAATCCATTCAGGCTGCTATAACAAAATACCATAGACTGGGTGGCTTGTAAAAAACAGACATTTATTTCTCAAAGATATTTGTTTCTGGAGGCTGGGAAGTCCAAGATCAAGGCTCTGGCAGATTCAGTGTCTGGTCTGAACCTGCTTCCTGGTTCATAGGTGGCTGTCTTTTTGTCGTAAACTCACATGGTCGAAAAGGGCAAGAGATCTCCCTGGGGTATCTTTTATAAGGACACAAATACCATTCATGAGGGAGTCCTCATGACCTAATCAGCTCCCAAAAGTTCAACCTCCAAATGTCATCACATTGGGGATTAGCTTTCAACTTATGAATTTTGGGGGGGACACGTTCAGTCTATAGCAGGGTCCCTAGCATTATCTACCTGCCCATTCTGGCTCCTGTAAGGAGGGACAGTCTGTGGCATAGGAAAGAGATTTATATGAAAAGGCCTTAAGACGAATAATGATGAAAATTTCTTAATTCAAGAGCTTTATCCATTTGACAAATTTAAAAAAATAGATGTTGGTTACCCAAAGTTATCTTCCAGATGCAGATCTGGGATGTGCCTTCCTCTCTGGACCAGTACACATCCCCTGGGTTAGTTTCCCTCCATTGTCCATCATGGGTGGAGAAACAAGGAGAAGGCCAAGTCAGGCAGAGGGTCTCAGTCCTGCAGGCATGGAGTAGAGATGTTCTCATCAGGCAGTCCTTCTAGCAGCTGCATGTGCCCGAGGCTGACAGTGAACTTGGTCAGGAATGTTAATAGCTGCCAGGGTGATGCAGGGTGCACTGTGCAAAAGGCAGTACCATCTACTCATCGAACAGGATTCATGAGGGTTTTACATTGTATTTTCAAATTCTGACTGCTTGTAAGATAACACCAAATGGGTTTCTATTGAATACTGGAAAACATTACCACAGTGGCTTTTTTTTTCTTTATTTAAAGTAAATAAACATTACATTGTATACATTTGTGGACCAACTCAGACATCTCCTACTCAAAACTTCCTCCCCTCTGCCCTTACTAATTGGAGCTCCCTAGAGGGAGGGGAGAGGAGAGATTGACACTTTTTCAGATACGAATATTCCCTCTGGAGGGCCAGGATCTTCAAACCTGCACTTATCTTGCTAGGATCCCCATGTGGCTAAGGTTAACCAGGAAAAAGAGCAAGAGTTGATCTACATCTCCTTTCCAGCTGACTGCAGTAAGTGTTCCAACTAGGCTCCGAGGAACTTCTCTGGGGCCCAGAGGAGACAGCAGGCAGGCCTCAACCCTAGCTCCCTTCAGCTGGGGCAGCCTTATATCCACCTATTTCATTGAAGAAAGTCTTCCTCTTTTTTAAAATAAAAAGTTTGATAACCATGGAAATTTTCATCTATGTTTATGAATTTTTTGAGCAACTTCTATGTACCAGGCACTGTTCTAGGTACTGGAGATGTATCAAAGCAGCACTTTGCTCCAAGGTCCTCCCTCACATATGGTAGCACATCTTTTTCCCAAACGTTCTTGTCTCCACTTCCCAGGCAGACTGGAAGTTCTGTGAGGGATGTGTCTTGTGTCTTTCATCTCTTCCTCAGAGGACAGTATTTGAACAGATCATACTGAACATGGCAGTGAATTCTGGCCCTGGATGGCAGTGTGCAGAGGGACAAAAGGAAATCCAGCTGGAAAGTCATACCTTTGTCCTGCATCATTCACAGAGGACATAGTGGGCATGCAGATAATTAAGTGTTGACAGTCCTATACTTGGGAAGGACTGCTAAACAGCTCTGGGATGGAAGAATCCAGTCAAAGCCAGGGGTCTGGTGTGAGGAGTGAGCAATCCATACACACATACACAGATAATATGCATGGAAGCTTGGCCAAAACACTTAATTGCTCTTTTCTTGAGTTTCTCAGACTGGTGGTAACCCATCAAATAGACAGTCCTTATAGAGGAAAAAAGGCATTGTGGGCATTAATAGCACTGACACAGAAAAGGCTGCCTCTTGCTATCTAGAGTAGCCCAAACCCAGAGCTAAAAGAAACATTACAGATCAGGCCTGGTTTCACAAATGAGGGAATTGAGGGCTAGAGAAGGCAAGTGATTTGCTTCAGGTCACAATGGGAGTTTGTGACACAGCCAGAATTGGACGCTAAGGCTCCTGTCTCTTTGTTTAAAGTTCTTACCATGTGATCAGAAAGCTTCCAAAGGACACAGAACACCTCCCTTCATAAGTAAGAAATTATTCCAGATTTCCTAATCACAAGATTTGCAAGTCAACAAATATTTATTGAATATATACTATGTGCTAATGGAGCTGGCATTTGTAGGGCAATAAGAGAAGCGTGTGACACAGTTCTTAACCTCCAGTAGCTAACTGAGAACACAGGAGGCAAAGATTTGAAGAGTTAAGTGAAATTAACAGGCAGTATGTGAGAAGTGCCAAAATTGGGGACAGTGAGTCTAAGGGAGTGCTCAGAGGAGATAAACTGAAATGTTTCCCATCTCATAGAGAAGATGCCTTTAAACTAGGTTGGAGAGGATTTAAGTAGAAAAGTTAAAGACCATCCCGCTGCTCAGCTCAAGGGGGTCCCCTTCACATTGGGGGCCATGCAGCCAGGAGAAAAGAGGCCCAGGAATTTGTATTTTGAAGGCTACTCATGCAATTGTGGTATTCTGTCAGGTTTAGGGTTCACCGGTATAAAGGATAATGCAGAATAGATTGGATAAATGCACCCCAATCCTTCTCTCCCTAGCTCATCCAGTTTCTCTGGGGGTGGGC